GGGACGGAGGGAGGGACGGAGGGACGGAGGGAGGGAGGGAGGGAGGGAGGGAGGGAGGGAGGGAAGGCGATCCGCAGCGAACAGTGCGGCGGATAGGAATCTTAATGGCTACCGGTCCCGGAATAAAGAGGCCTGCTTGTGCCCCGGGGGCGTGGCGTGGCGGCGGGGGCCAGAGCGCTTCCTTGCGAGCGAACTTGCGCCCGCCGAGCTCCGCCCCGCTCGCCCGCCCGCCGTCGCGACGCTCGCACTCTGCCCCCCTTCCGCCACCCTTCTTAACCTTGTTAGCCTCTCACACCACCACCACCCCTCAGCCTGCAGCCAGACGATGCTACATTATCACCGGCGGCGCCAAACACCAAACTGCCAAACCCGACCACGACCACGACCCGACCGGCTGCTGCTGCGTGCGTGAAGCAAGATGGAACTAAAACGCACTTAAGCTCACGTTCTCACCTTAGGTCACTCTGGCTGTTTCCCCACCACCACTCCACCACCCATCCAGACGTCTGCCTGGAACCCGACCGACCCGTCCTTTGGGCCTCGGCGGCACCAACGACCAGAGCAGCACCGCGTGTGTGTTTTTTTCCTCCCTCTTTTCGAGTGTGCCTCTCCTCTGCCAGTCCCGTGGGCAGCGCGCGCTGGTCGGCGCAGACCTGTGTGTGCACGGGCCGCCCGAGGGGGTCTAGCTGGCCGGCTTGCATGGACCCGCCGCCACAGGGACCCCCGGGCGGCACCGGGCCCCGCCGGGGGCACTCTCTGCCGGTCTCCGGCTGGACCAGTGAATCCTCTTAGACCCCCAATCCCCAGCCCTCTCCCCAGCCCTCCCCGCGCCCCCGTCGCGCCGAGGCAGCGAGGGCAGCCCCGCGGTGACGAACACACGCAAAGAAGGCCCTACACAAGCAGCCGGCGAGGCAGCCGAGCCGCCCTCCCAGGGGGCCGTCCCAACCCCGCCGTCCACCTGCACTGTGGACTGAAAGGCACCAGAAATGCAGGCCGTGTGCCGTGCCGCCAGGCCCGTCTCCCCCTCCCCTCCCTCCTCTCTCTCTACC